CTGCCCGGCGACTGCCTCCAGGAAGCCCGAGGCAGAGCTGCTCTGCCTCGGGCTTCCTGGAATCAGCCCCGATCAGTTTCAGCAGTGGCAGACTTGGGGACACCTGGGGCAGAGCAGCTGAGGTGCTGCCAGGTTGGTCCAGTAGTGCCGAGGAGCAGCGCTGTGGGACCAACCCGGCAGTGCCCCAGCTGCTCTACCCCAGGCATCGTCGGTGAGAAAAGCGGGTGGCGGGAGACGAGGAGACCAGGGAGACGCGGGTGGCAGGACCGCTGAGATGCACCGCGGTCCCGCCCGCATCCTCCGCGGCTTTGCTCCGCGTCTCCCTGGTTTGCTGCTCCCCGCCCCCCAGCAGACCAGGGAGATGCGGAGCAGCTTTTCTCGCCCCGGAGGATGCGGGCGGCGGGACTGAGGCGCGTCTGGGCGTCCCGCCACTCGCGTCCTCCAGGGCGAGAAAAGCCCCGTTCGTAACTTCAGATCCGACGTAAGTCGGATCCACGTAACTCGGGGACTGCCTGTATTCACACAGGCAGCATTCCAGACAATTCCCTCAGCTCTCTATACTGGAACCCCACGACTGCACTGTCTTGCTCTGATCAGATTCCTCTCCCTCAGTGTGGTGAGGACATGTAACAGGTTTTTTTTTTTTCCTGAGCAGATTTTTCCCAAGTACTTTAACCAAAACACACTGTTTCATGTAAAATATAAAACAGATTTATTAACTACAGAAAGAGGTATTTTAAGTGATATTAATGTTTAACCGGTTGAGACTTTTCAAATGATATCTCACAAGTATCGAAGTATATCATAATTATATGATACATGCAAATACAGAAGTTCAAGGATACTGTTTTGAGCCATAACATGCCACACCGTACTTGCTGCAATTTTAGCCCTTTGTTTCTTGTCCTCATATTGAGGAGAACAATTTTTCTCCCTCTTCCATGTCACGATCTTTTATGTACTTGAAAATGGTTATCACATCCCCTTTCTGTCTTCCCCAGACTAAACAAACCCAGTTTTTTCAGTTTTCCCTCACTGGCAGAGCTATCCCATTCATAAGATTAAGGGCAGCGGCCTCAGGTCCTGAGCTTTGGGGGGAGGTGGAGGCCGTGCAGCAGCTGCCTGAACCATCCTGGGGCCCAGGGCGACCTTGGGATTTTCTGGGGAGGCCTGATGTGGTGTGGCATCAGGGAGTCGACCTCTCCTCCTCCTACCAATCACCGTGGCAGCAGGAGCCAGAGCAACCCAGCAACCCATTCCACTCTGCCCCGCTGTCTTCTCCCAGCCCACCATCTCCCACCCCTGGTGACTGAGGGTTGCCCCAGGACCCATGCCTCCCGAAGGATGACCCTGCTCAAAGCTCAGGTTTTCTAGATCTTTAATTATTTTTGTTGCTCTTCTCTGGATTTCCATTTGTCCACATGTTTTCTCAAATATAGTGTCCAGAACTGGACATAATACTCCAGTTGAGGCCTAATAAGCGTAGCGTGGAAGAATTACTTCTCATGTCTTGTTTACAATACATACTCCTGCTGATAGATTCCAAAATTATGGTGGTTTTCTTTGCAACAGTGTTACACTGTTGTCTCATACTCCGCCTGAGGTACACCATGAGCCTTAAATCTTTTTCTGCAATACTCCTTCCTTAGGAGGTCATTTCCCATTTTGTATGTGTGCAACTGAGTTTTCCTTCCTAAGTGGAATACTTTGCATTTGTCCTTATTCAGTTTTACTCTATTTACTTCAGAATTGTCAGACACATAGAAGAACATAATTGGTTGGGCAAAAGTCAACATGGTTTCTGTAAAGGGAAATTATGTCTTACTAATAATCTATTAGAGTTCTTTGAAGAGGTCAACAAACATGTGAATAAGGAGGATCCAGTAGATATAGTGTACTTAGATTTCCAGAAAATCTTTGACAAGGTCCCTCACCAAAGGCTCTTATGTAACTTAAGTTGTCATGGGATAAGAGGGAAGATCCTTTCATGGACTGAGAACAGGTTAAAAGACCGGAAACAAAGGGTAGGAATAAATGGTAAATTTTCAGAATTGAGAGGGGTATCTAGTGGTGTTCCTCAAGGGTCAGTCCTGGGACCAATCCTATTCAACTTATTCATAAATGATCTAAACTGCTCAAGGTAGTTAAGACCAAAGCAGAATGTGGTGAGCTTCAAAAAGATCTCACCAAACTAAGTGACTGAGCAACAAAATGGCAAATGAAATTAATGTGGATAAATGTAAAGTAATGCACATTGGAAAAAATAACCCCAACTATACATATAATATGATGGGAGCTAATTTAGCTACAACTAATCAGGAAGGAGATCTTGGAGTCATTGTGGATAGTTCTCTGAAGACGTCCATGCGGTGTGTAGCGGCAGACAAAAAAGCAAACAGGATGTTAGGAATCATTAAAAAAGGGATAGAGAATAAGACGGAGAATATCCTATCGTACACTCACATCTTGAATACTGCGTACAGGTGTGGTCTCATCATCTCAAAGATATACTGGCATTAGAAAGGTTCAGAGAAGGGCAACTAAAATGATGAGGGGTTTGGAACGGGTCCCAGATGAGGAGAGATTAAAGAGACTGGGACTTTTCAGCTTAGAAAAGGGGGGATATAATAGAGGTCTATAAAATCATGAGTGGTGTGGAGAAAGTGAATAAGGAAAAGTTATTTACTTGTTCCCATAATATAAGAACTAGGGGCCACCAAATGAAACTAATGGGCAGCAGGTTTAAAACAAATAAAAGGAAGTTCCTCTTCACACAGCGCGTAGTCAATCTATGGAACTCCTTGCCTGAGGAGGTTGTGAAGGCTAGGATTATAACAGGGTTTAAAAGAGAACTAGATAA